TTTCATCCTTTCCGAAGACGAACGTCTACTGCATGAGTCTATAACTCCATTTGTTCAAAACAGAGAGCTACACTTTCTAGTTTTTGCCTGACCCATTACCGGCAGCAGTTACCCTTGAAAACAACGCAACATCAAATGTCTCATCAATAGTATAACCAGCTGTCCTTTCGCAGACATAATTAAACAATATGTGCTATGAATGCCATCAACTTGGAGACTGGAGGAAAAGCTATCCCAATTGCAGCAACAAGCAATATGCAACAAGGAACAATCCAGCAATATAAGATAAAAGGTATATATCTCGATTTTGTAGAAGAATATTTGCTGCACTGTTACGTAAACATACTTTTCGGATCGGACATGTTACGGATAATGATAAAGGTGACTTTTCTAAATTTTTTATTAGTACTGTTAAATCGGGTTATAGTATACCTTTTGTGAGTCTACCATCCCTATGAAATTTCGCAATAATAAATCTGTGTTTGACTATACTAATTTTGTTAACAAGTCTTTCTTGAACTGTTGAGTAACGGATGACATAAAATTCCATTCCAGCCTTTTGTAGTAAACCACTTAAATGTTGTTATTCCAAAGTCATGGAAAAAGAGATTTTTTTAGAAACTAGTTATTGCGATTATCATATTCAAGATTGATGTTAAATCTGGATATTTACATTTGGACATTTGTAAAGAGCAACATACATATTAAGGGTTCTCTTGGAACGAAAAATTATTATATTATTTTTCAGTTTTAGCTGTCGGTTTTATTTCAGTTCCTTACATTTTTACAAAATGTTTACAAACTATAGTTAAATATTGGCATGAAAACGTCGTAGATATAGAACGATATCTGTATGATGGTTGAGGTATTGAAAAGAGTATTTGAAATGTCAATATCTGAATTCAGAAAGTCATGTTTAGAATTAGCTGGCTTCTTAATAAATGAACAATACCTTTTGTTTATCAAGTTCAGTGCCTGGAATGGTTCGGATTGATATGAGATTCTGTAAGTTTTAGTTAAGCAGTCCTTAGACGTAGAATAAATGATACTAAAAAGTCACATGGCAGTTTTTTGAAAAAAATATTTGCTACAAAAGTTAGCACACTTCTCAAGTAGAATTATTTCTATGTCTTCAGTTATGGATAATGTTATTTGTCTGATGACAAAGGACTTATATTTCACGATTGTGAACGAAACAAACATGGGAAAATATTACCTAAAATGAGTGTGTATAAGCAGAATTGAGATTTTGTTCAGACATTTAGACAAATCTTAAAATTTGGGAACGATATTCTATCAATATAGTGGTGTGTTCAGATTTGAATGAAAAAGTTTTCCATTCTACATGGAGTGAATATGAGAAAAAACATGAGTTTCACCCTGCGTGAACGTAAAGCTATTCGATTAACTTTATGTTAATTTAAACACAGTAGTGATAAATGACAGCATATAGTTAAAACATGTAAATATCAGCAATAAAGGTAGCGTTAAAGTAGATTTACCATGTTCAGCATAAGACATTTTAAAAAGTTTTATTCGAAGGCTAATTCATTGTACATACAATATGGGTACCTAGAACATGGAATTTCATCATCATACTTTGGAAGTTATTGAATTTTCCAGTGATCAGTCTATATTTCTTTTCTGATATTTCAGTCGTTAGCCAAAGATGTAGGTGACTGTTTTGTCTTACTGTGACATAAGCATGAAACCTGTTGACAAGGCTTTGGAAATGACAGCGAAGTCATTTTTAAAAATCCGATAAGGCTTAACTGTACGGAGCAAGTTCAGTAACATTAATTATATAATAAAAGCATTCATTTAAGTGAACAAGTATATACTCTTTTATCTATTTATCATATTTTTTTTTACATTTTTCCGAAATTTTCAGCGTCGGTTTGTAGTGAACAGAAATTCTTTCACTAAACCAGCTATTTGAATGTTTAGCAAATGTATTCCAGATACTTGACTACGTTCGATAGCATATAACATCCGGAAGAAATACAGGTATGCTTTTAATATTTTTTGTAGAAGAAATAATTCGTTCAAAACACCCTTTACCGGCATCAGACTATGATGTTTCGTTATAACTGATTCATTTACATAAGAAAACAAAAGGCTGCATCTATAGTTGAAGGAACTTATTTTGCAATAAGCTGGTCACATAAACTAGCCGGATTTAATGATTCATGTAATTTTATATATGTACATCAATTAAAACGAGCTCACATGTCACAATGAACAAAAAAGAGGCTATTACACCGGAAATTCTGTACCAGATTGTACAACATTAGTGGTAACAAATTCAGTAGAAGAATAGAAGAACCGTCTGTATGTGTCTAAGCAGGATTTTAAAGATTTTCCGAACTTGTTAATTTGAAGAAATCAGATGTTATTTTTTATCTTATATGTCTTTATTTATTGAAAACATTAGATTGACTAACACAAAGAAGAAAGTAAAGTTTTAATTTCTAGGACTACATGTAGTGCACTTATTTGTCCGATACTTATGTTATAAACATATATTTATCACAAGCTAACACGGCAATCAATTCTAAAGAACTTATTTTTAGAGCAGTAACTTTTTGAAGGAAAGCAAACACTTATGCATTAACATGATTATGAGGAAGTACTAACTTGTCTTATAAATGGACAATAGGGTTGTTGTTGTTGTACGCTCTTGGATCTTTAGGCCTAGAACAATTTAGTTCTGGTTTACACAGTTCTACAGTATTAGGTGCGGCGGATGCAGCTGTTGTTAGTATAAATGATAGACTATTGAAGAAACACGGAAGAATGGTATCGAAAATGTCAGCGATGGATATGTTCAGGAAAATATACCCGAAAATTAACAGTTTTAGATAACCTTGGTGATTGATTCATTTAATCTTGTTTTGTTTCTTTTTAAAGAATGCTACTCTCACAAACAGAAAACATTTCTCATATATGTATTTGTTGAGTTTTATTGTATAAATAATTAATGTCTGTTTAAATTGGCGAGCTAGAACACTAATGAATTTATCATTAGTAATGAAGCACATGTATTTGTTTTGGTAAAACACATGTTTTTGTTTACATCAACAAGTAATTTAGAATACCTGTAACGTTTATAATGGGCATTGTATATAATTTGTCCCATTGTAGGTATAATTGTACGAATTATACAGGTATTCAAGATATGGTTAGTTTTGGCTCGTGTTTCTCTTTCTTGTCGTTTCATATAAATTTAATAACGTTTGGTATACTCCGTACAACTGCCTTGGATGTATTTAGCCCTCCTCCCACCGTCATCAAGACAGTCTTTTGTTCTTGTGTGAAAAGTAATTTATGATGCTGACAACATATTTTCTGGTTTGTAGACTGTTTTATATGCATGTGTGACTGAATAGCTGTGTCTGATCCCATATACGTTTGACACTTTCATATAACGGTTGAGAATGAGTCGTAATGTGTTTAAGAAGACATGGTAGATCATTGAGAAAAATTAACTGATTTTTAAAAGAATTATACGTTTTGTATTAAAAAAAAGTATGCTTATCTCACCCGGAGAGCTCATTTCTGATACATGTGTTGAGTTTGATTGAATAAATAATTTATGTTTGTTTAAACATGGCGAACTGAAACATGATAAAATATATATGTAAACATTATATGTTGTAATATTATCAAATTGATCTTAAATTTCCTTCAGAGCTGCATTGTTAACCTGGTTTATTTTTAGATAATTACTAGGAAATTGGGTTAAAAAATCTTCCTTGTAATTTCTTAAAACCTATTATTAGTTACTTATTTGATGACACAAAGCTAAAACTAACCATATTCTAAAATTAGACCATAGATCAATCTCGATAGATGGTAAGAAAAATTAGTTCATTATTTAATGATAAATCATTATTTAAACTGTATTTCATAACACACAAAACTCAACACAATATCAATAAAAAAATTAAAGATTTTCTAAGAATCACTTTTTGTTGAAAATCCATTTTACACAAAACATCATTATAAATCTCATTTATAATTACATTCTAGGACAGGTAAACCATAGATACACGTATACGATACGACATATACTATTATTTAGTTCTAAAATAAAGACTTAAGGTTATATTCAAAATATCAACGTTCTAATGTTAAAGTTTTATTTCGAGTACTTCAGGTAGTTGTTATTTTTTCAAAGTTATTATTTCTGCATTCAATTTTTGGAAAAAACAGTTTTGTCCTAAATTTCATCCTCGTTGCACTTCACGTATATATATATATATATATATATATATATATAGTAATATTTTGCATTTACATAATGGTGATAACATACGTGACCTCTAAAAGTATGAAGCGCCATTGGACTTAAACGATTTTATGGGTAGAGGCCGTAATATTACGACCCCCGCATGGTAAAGAATACAAAAGTTTATTTTGTTTTGAAATTTTTGATGAATTTCTATTTTTTTTTGGGGGGGGGGAATTTAAATCCCCGGGTGAAGTGGGGTGAAGTATTTTTTACAACCGAGTACACTGAGGAAGGGTGTCATTTACACCCAGGTTAGTAGTAAACCGATCAGATAGCAAGATTCTTGCTTCATAAGAAATAAGAAATAAACAAGTTTATTTACTTAACTTTTGATACTGCACATTTATCCTTTATTTTGGTAGTCCGATATTTCAAAAGCGTCAATGTCGTAAATAGAACATTTGTCCCCTCTATTTGATCTTGTTCGTCCATTTTCGTCTGTTCATCAATTCATTGGTTCATTCATTCATTCATTCTTTCGTCTGTCCATCTGTTCGACCACCTGTTTGTCAATCTTTTCTTCTTTTTTCCCATTCGTCTGTAAGTTCGTCAGTTGGTCTGTTCGTTCATTCATTTGTATTTCAGTTTATCTGTCTAACCGTTTTCCAACAAATATTGATTTTTTTCCCCAAAACATTAGATAAAACCATTTTGATAGGGTTGAATTGACACGTGTTGCCGCCTTTCTGATCTGTCGAACACCTGTTTCCTGTTTTCCAATACTTTGAAGTACGCAGTTGGTATTAATTTTTTTTCAACAACGCTAGCCCTTTCTTGTTTTGCATGGCTAGCTACCAGTCTTATTTTCCCCTCAGACTTGTTTTGTCATATTTCTAGAATTGAAAATTATATGACTTTGTAACAGTATGATAGGTGATGCACACGTGGCAAGGGACGCCTACTCGATCGATACACTTGGTCTCACCCTGTTTGGAGCTCACGATTCCGTGTATATCTTATACCATATTTGTTGGTTATATGCCTTGATTGTAGAAGCGTACGATACAAGCCGGAAAGAGGTAAATGGCTATTTGCATTAAATATCAGAAAGTTTTTTGATAATTCAGAATTTATTTTGATAATTTTTTCCCAGAAACAAAAAAATGTATGAAATACAGATAAATGTTTTTAAGATGCGTTAAACAAATAAATACTATTATCTTATTATTGGTTCTTTTTGGGAAAAAAGAAAGAATGGCATATTGTGTATACACTTGTTTCCACTAATAACAAGCACAACGAATGATTAAGATTGTCACTTTACAAGTCCAACGGTGACGTTGCGCACGATGTTGGTACCAATTCCATTTTGCTATAGATTAACATGAAAATAAATACGTAGACTGGTCAGTCCGATAAAAATATAGTAATTTCTGGTTGAATTCATTACATTAGATTTGAAAATAAAGGAAAAAAGGAACCGAAATTCAAAATACCAAGAAATTCCAACACTTAATTATCCCATTTTTACGCAAAAACGTAATGTCCAACGTTACATTTTGTGTGCAAAAGATCAGAGTTCCGTTTCTTTCATACGGTATTTTTTCTCCGATCATCTTTAAACTTCACAAGAGTATTGCTATTGTTATAGTTATTCGCGTGTTAAAGCAAAATTAATATCACTGAAACCGTAATCCGGAAAATGTTATTTTTGAAAATGGTCTGAAAAATGTAAAAGCATATGCAAGGTAAGTATATTTCGGGTTTGCGCATTTATACCGTTAAATTTTAAAAAGCTGAGAGGAAAAATATTTATTATATTTTGAAAGTTTTTTTACTTTTCTCCTGGTTCATGATATCTTTTTTGCCGGAAACCATGCGTATAGTTTCTATTGCAATGACTTCAATAAGTATAGCCATCGTGTCCCAACGAAAAAACGCTGTATTTTCTTTAAAATTGAGGTTTTAACTTGGCGGCAAAAGTTTTTTTTCTATTTTTCTTTTTAAACAATATAGTGTTTAACATTTTTTCGTTAGGCAACAAGGTTTTTAGATCGTTTCAAAAAGTATAGCCGTTTTGTCCCAACGTTCACAAAACGTCATTGATGTCATGCTCGGGTTTTTAATTTTATATCGAAATTATTTGTTTCCAGTTTAATTCGAATGAAAATAAAAATACATGTATAAGTTAAAATACAACCAATGTATGAGAAAAGAATAGTTTAAGTTTAAATTCAAATGTTGACCAAATGAGATTGATATTAAAAAAATATCGGGATCTTTTTTTTATATAGCATATTTGTTTTATTTAAGGAACTATGTCTATCTGCAAGTTTTAACTCGTCAAAAGCAACATGTACAATTTCTTTGTTAATAAAATAAAATAGAGAAAAAGCATTGCTGGCAATTATAACAAACAAATGATATGCATAATGCCACAAAAATACTGAAATGAGAAAAACATGAATACCAAATGTTGAACTACCTAGATATTTTGCGACAAAGAAAACATCGGGAAATGATAAAATATAGAAAGGAAATGGACACGGACACGGAAAGAAATGCAACAAAAGGAGTATGTATAAATATGAAAAAAATGGAGAATATAAATTCAAAATCTAATTTATATTAAAAATAAATCTGTGTAAATTTGGAAATTAATGTATGATTCATTAATGCGAACTTCTGTCTAAAGAAAAATTATCAATTATGGCCTGGAAAGACTGACAACTCCTGTAAATGAATATTTATTAAAAAAAATATCTATACGACCACTTTGAGTTTTATTTGTAAAACTATGCATTTTCAGACAAACCGAAATCGGTTACCAAATTCACAACAGTAAATTGACCTCATCAATTATATGCTTGAACGCCGGAAACGTTCTTTGAAATCGTCGAAATCGCCTTATTTTGAGGAACGTCTTGTAACGCTATAAGTAGCACCAACATCGTGCGCAACGTCCGGTATCTTTATAAATGAATGGGCATCGAATTTTTGATTTGTGACTGTTAACTCTGTCCTAAATCTCATATGTCAACTTTATCAATTATCTAAATTATTTCGGTTCTACTTCTGTATTGATTGTTATTGTTGATGAAAAAGACAATTAAAATGGCAAAGGGTTATCTTACGCAAAATTGCAGAATTAATCTGACTTAAAAAACAATCTAGAAATGTATAATTTAATTTTCTTTATATGGTTAATTTTAATCATGACCTTGTCAAACACACGAAACCGAGAAAATTTTATTTGCAAAACTTCTGTGAAGTACATAGATACCACATTAAATATTCAATATGTTACATAAATATATATAATATGGATACATTACATGTTTTAACCTGATTCTATTCATATTAAATCGTATTCAGAGCTGCGTTGTTTCCCTGGTTTATTTTTAGATACTACTACGAAGTTGGGTTAAAAGTATACCTTGCAATTTCTTAGAATCCACTACTTATCATACAATTTCTTAGAATCCATTATTCATTATAAGTAACCAATATTATAGCACAAAACTAAAACGTACTGCTAGACCAATAACAGTTTTGTCCTCATTGAATTACACGAGTGTATAATATTCTCACGTTTCTAAGACAGCATCCGACTATATCAATCATTCGACTGTTGCTTTTTGCCAACAATAAAATTAAGAGTGGAAACGGAAAATGTGTCAAAGAGACAACAACCCGTCCGAAAAGCAGAAAACAGCCCAAGGTCAACAAATGGGTCTTCAATACAAAAAGAAGATCCCGCACTCCGCGGGCTTCAGCTGGCCCCTAAACAAAAATGTGTACTAGTTCAGCGTAAATGAAGGTCACACTAAACTCCGAAACACATAAATGAACCAAAATGTAAAACAAAATCATACAAAGGCCAGAGGTTCCTGACTTGGGACAGGCGCAAAAATGCGACAGGGTTAAACATGTTTTATGAGATCTCAACCAGAGTCACCATATACCTCTAATCAATGTCGAATAAACAAATACACAGCAATACGCACAGTAAAACTCAGTTTAAAAGTAGTCCGAGTCCGATGTCAGAATAGTTAACAAAAAGAAACTTAGCAAAATGTCAATGATCAACACAAATAATCAAAGGACTACTAGCAGCTACTGACATGCCAGCTCAAGACCTCAATTAAACTGATTGAAATATTATGTCTTCATCATATAAAAATAAAGCACAATCCTTCCCGTTAGGGGTTAAGTACCATTCCATCATAAAATATACGAGAAGAACATAACCCGTATCATGTCAACAACTGATTTTAGAATAAATGTGTTTATTTCCGAAACAAAGACCCTATAAGTAAATCAATATTAAATCCCAAAAATGCCATCTTTAATGACCTGACAACAGTATCGCAACTATATCCCTTCTGAATAAGTCTGTTTAAAGATTTGGTTAGCTTTTTGAGGTGAATGACGACATTTTTGTGCTTTATATAGAATATTACCATAAAAGATTGGATGTGAAATACCCAAAGAGGGGCGAAAGATACCAGAGGGATAGTCAAAATCATAGATCGAAAATAAAGTGACAACGTACGCGTATAAGATGTCTGCATGTTGATTTATATTTACGAATGATGCCCTTGTACCGATGATAAAGTTTAGTAAATGTTTTCACAAGTCTGTGATATCGAAACCCCGAGTGTAATAATTTTTCGGTAATACAGATTTCTTTCTTTAAAATCAAATACGTTGTTACACACACGAGCGAATCGAACAAGTTGATGTATATAAACCCATCTCAAAATGGATAATTAACAATAGGAAATGAAAAATCATCTCTTCTGTCGTAAATTTTGGTATTACGCTTCCCGTTAAAGATAAAGATATCAAGATCAAGGAAGGGGCATTGTTCATTGGTAGTATTAGATTTATTTAAAGTCAGTTCAACAGGATACTTTAGTTTACATACTGAAGTCGTCATTATGGAGAGCCAATATATCGACCAAATATCTAAAAGTGTTTTTAAATTTTTGTATCAAATGTTCTCAATAAGTGGTGAACAGTTAGTCCCCATTGTAATTCCAATAACTTGACGATATACGGAATCTCCATAGCGAACAAAAATGTTATCTTGTAAAAAGTCAAGTGCAGTTATCATATCAAAGCAGGTCCGATTGACATAGTTCTTTTGTTTGTTGTTACTAAAAGATGCATGCTATAAATAATTATACTTTCAATTAAAGGTACTAAAGTTTCATAGCTACAAAATGACTGTAAGTATTATAATATATTCGAAATATGTTGATTATTGTTCTCTGGGTTTTATATTCGGATTGTCTTGTCCTCGATACTGATCTCTCCCTCTAAGATCGATTTTCGAGAGGATATAATTTTGAGAATTAATAATAGAGCTAATATCAAAATATCCCACTTGAAAATATTTGTTGGCATAAATTGTGATGAATGACAATCACTTAATGTATACCAAGCTAGTCTTTTCAATTAAACTTTAATGAGTGCACGATGCGTCTAAAAATTGCATACAGAAGCTCTGAATTGTTGTCCTACCGTCAGATGCGCAGTGTATTAAAACAAGAAGATGTGGGGCGATTGTCAATGATGCAACTGCCTATCAAAGACAAAGGACAATGAATGAAACAACTACAGATTACTGTATGGCCCTCAGCATACTAGGCAAACCCGTAACGTATATTAAGCCATAAAAGGTCCCGGCATTACTAAATGTGGAACAGTTCAAAAGATAAAATTAATGTTATATCATGATTAAACAATAAACGATAAATAAGTTTACAATACTTCATGTCAAAATGCCAGATTTTGATTGGTTAATACGAGGGAGACAATTTACTCTATCCTATGGTAAATACTCTATTACCCTTCACGGAGACTCTTGATCAAGTGTGCGCTTTATTAAATACGGATGTTTGTTATGTACAAGACGTCATAGTTTATTACTTTGAATTTGAAATTTAATAGACAGTAATAACAGAACATTCAGTATAATAAATTGAATAACACATATCTGAGAGGGTGATAGATCAGATTGTTACCCCTCGAAAAGACATTGTCAACCTTGGCTTCGCCTCAGTTGACAATGTTTTCTCGGGGTAACAATCTGCTCTATCACCCTCTCAGCTATGTGTTATTTATATAGTGGCATACGGAAACCAACTATTAAATCTGGGTCTTAAAGTAGACTTCCTTAAGTTAAATAAACAGTATTGTAAAGGATAAATACTCTAATAATACAAAGTGAATTTACAACTTAAAATAATTTTCCTTAATTAATCTTGTCCTTTTTAATTGTAGTCGTATAATCCACAGTCAGGGCTTTGGTTCGGAACTTATAATCAATATATATGGAAAGGAACATAATTTTGCAATCAAGTTAGTTTGGGATAATGGCAACATTACCGGTAACGGAGTTGATGAAATAGGCACTTACACCATACAAGGTAGCTGGGATGTTCTTCATGGAACAGTACAGTTCCTAAAGCAGTACAATGGAAAACACAGCGTAAATTATAATGGCCAACTGTCAACGGACAGCTGTAGTATTTCTGGCCAGTACGATGTTACAGGCGATTCTGATCGCTTCACGATGTATTTGAAGGGACAATAGGCTTAGTTAGACCTTGACATTTTTTCTAATAGTGACACACTATTTTATGCAGCAGTCCGCGAGTTTTGAACACTTGTCAAATTTTAAATGAATAAAACATCACTATTGTAACTTGATATGGATATATGTTATTTTGATATTAAGATAAACATGTCGGAGTGATGAAGCATCAACGGAGAACAAACCCTGATATGTTAAAGCATTACAGTTAACTAAATCTATTTCGGAATCCAAGCTACAAAACATAAGAAACTGCTAGTTTTAGAAAAGTGTTCTTCTCATTTATCTACTAATTTGTTTCAATCTGCCCTATCCAAAAGATACAGTTTACCCTTTTTCATGCTTATACAATCTAAACAAACTTTCACTACCACTCAGTCGCCATTGGTTTAGATGTAGTTTTACTTTAGTACATAGGCCAAAATAACAGCCTGAAATGTATGAATTCTGTTATAGTCATAGTATGTACATAAACAACCGGAAATGTATAGTTTTGGTTTAAACATAGATATACAAAAATATCAAGAAATGTATGAATTTGAAAATTGATAGAACATATTATTAAGCGTAAAAATAAACGATCGGTGTAAATACATAAAGTCCACAAACGTGCATCATCATCAATCACCAGTGCATTAAAGATTACACAAAAATATGAAACTCTGCTAAAAGAATTTAGTCTTTCTACTCTGATAAATAGACGGAAAATGTATCGCCTCATTCTTTTATTTAACATTAAAAATACCTTTCCACTTATTAATCATTTATGACACGTCCATTCATAATTTTCGAGGAAAATTATATTTAAGTTCCTCAACCGGGAACATCTATATTTTCATATATTTTTCAGTAAACTATTCAATGACTTTAGAAAATCTAGTTTAAAAAACATCTCTGTCGTGAAAAACACACCTTGTACTATCATTTGGCTGAACGCATATATTTATACATAATATGTTGTAATTTAAGTACATTTAATTTAAATTTTATTCAGAGCTGCATTTATTGGAAGGTCTATTTAAAGACAAATACAAAAGCTGCCGCTTCATATCGGTTCTTTGTGACTTCTGCATATTCGTACCGAACTGTTTTCCCCAACATTATCCAAGCTCAATTGCATGTTTCAAGAAGTCAAATCACTTCCATTATTGATACAAACTCTGTTAAATACAGATTGGTTACAATTATCATATGTGGAGACACATATTACATCACATGCCAAATATGCATCATTATACAAAGGGACTCAACTCTCACGTCTTAACTACAAAACACATCGTCGCTGGGCTTCCAAAATGTAGTAAATTACTTATTTTTCATCAACAAAAATTCTCATAAACAGGCTTTGAAAATTTTGGTTGAAATACATGCTTCCAAAATGTCGTATGTGAACTTGAACATTTTTGTAACTGGCTGTGAAATAAAAACTTGGACATTTCTGGATAACACAAAAACTAACCTTATTGTCATAGAAATAAGGAAATGTAAAAGTTTAAGATTCCTAAAGCCACTATGTATACAACAATTTTCAAGTTTACATACAACATTTTGGAATTGAGATTGACAATTTTGTCACATGTCTTATTTCAAATGTTTTGATTGGTCTAAATGAATAATATTTTGGAATATCAGAGATTTCCTCCCGCCAAGCCGGTTTGTGTGAAAAGAGTATTTTTAGCAAAAAAAAAATCATATACGACATTTTGGAAGCCCAGTGACGACATACGACCATACATATATAACACCACCTAAAGTTTGTACAGAAAACAAGGCACGTACTTGACTTCTTCAAAGATGAAACTAAATCTTACATTTCTTATACCTTCATCAGGCACATTGTATTCAATGTTTTCGACCACAAGAGGTTATTACAGACTTTCAAGTACTCTCAAAGATATATAATGAATAAAAAAGCAAACCTGTTGTTAGTCGTCGCCATGCAAATAAAGTTCTGCTGCAATAACTGGGGACCTTGGCATCGTTAACAGTAACTTTGAGAGTTGTAAACTGATTTTTGTGTCGTGTGATTGTTGTCTCAAGATTGTTTACCGTAAGCTATAAATGCACTTTAACATTGCATTTAACGCATTATGACCAAAGGGAAATAACTCAAACTGTTATCATATCCTCTTAGTAGCTAACAACCATACCTGTAGGCATAATAACTATCGTATTTGCTTGACGATTTGGAGGACTAACTCAAAAAAGTAAACGGGTGATCAATAATATAAAGCACAGTTACTTTTTAAGTAAAGCACATAAAACTCACATACGTGAGGGTCTGGATGGGGTTTACAAAATAAGAAATAATGCCCCAAAAAAATAATGAATAGAAAAATTAACAAACAAAAAACAGAGAATAATAGTGTGTAAAAGCATAAAGAATAACTGTGAAAAATAAAAGAATTAGGTAATACAATACTGATTACAGACATGAACGATGTACAGAATAAAGAAATCATCAAATTACAGTAAAATGATTAGCATGAGAATTTGACAGAATAAAAGTTATTTTTTAATATAAAGAAAAATTCCCTAAATCGTATATTATTTTTGACAACTAGTTCTTAATATTTAAGTTTTTAAAAAACATGGTTTACTAGAATCGCTCTTGAAGTTGGTTTTCTATTTCTATCCCTTTAAGTTGTCGCTATTTCAATTGAACGGGTGGAAAAGTAGTGTAGAGCGCAGCAAAATCAAAAGTTTTAATATTGCTACAAATTGTAATGATTGTGATTGAAGATTTTTTGAGAAAAGGTTTATAATTTTCAATAATCAACATTTCATGGATACCACTGGTTGATATATATCTCATTATTGCATTTTTGAAGGCCAATTCTTACTTCAAAAAAAAAAAGTTCAGTCGAACATAGATATTGACGACACGGCCAGTGGTGAGTATTCTGTCAATATCGTTCTTCAATGGTGTAAAGTTTATGCTGCTATCATACTTCCATGGTATGCACTCGATGTCACTATCGTACTTCCATGGTGTGCACTCTATGTCGCTATCGTACTTCCATGGTATGCACTCTATGTCACTATCGTATTTCCATTGTGTGCACTCTATGTCACTATAGTACTTCCATGGTGTGCACTCTATGTCGTTATCGTACTTCCATGATGTGCACTCTATGTCACTATAGTACTTCCATGGTATGCACTCTATGTCGCTATCGTACTTCCATGGTGTGCACTCTATGTCGCTATCGTACTTCCATGATATGCACTCTATGTCGCTATCGTACTTCCATGGTATGCACTCTATGTCACTATCGTACTTCCATGGTGTGCACTCTATGTCGTTATCGTACTTCCATGATGCGCACTCTATGTCACTATAGTACTTCCATGGTATGCACTCTATGTCGCTATCGTACTTCCATGATGTGCACTCTATGTCGCTATAGTACTTCCATGATATGCACTCTATGTCGCTATCGTACTTCCATGGTATGCACTCGATGTCACTATCGTACTTCCATGGTGTGCACTCTATGTCGCTATCGTACTTCCATGGTATGCACTCTATGTCACTATCGTATTTCCATTGTGTGCACTCTATGTCACTATCGTGCTTCCATGGTGTGCACTCTATGTCGTTATCGTACTTCCATGATGTGCACTCTATGTCACTATAGTACTTCCATGGTATGCACTCTATGACGCTATCGTACTTCCATGGTGTGCACTCTATGTCGCTATCGTACTTCCATGATATGCACTCTATGTCGCTATCGTACTTCCATGGTATGCACTCTATGTCACTATCGTACTTCCATGGTGTGCACTCTATGTCGTTATCGTACTTCCATGATGTGACTCTATGTCACTATAGTACTTCCATGGTATGCACTCTATGTCGCTATCGTACTTCCATGGTGTGCACTCTATGTCGCTATAGTACTTCCATGATGTGCACTCTATGACGCTATCGTACTTCCATGATGTGCATTCAATGTCACTATCGTACTTCCATGGTGTGCACTCTATGTCGCTATCTTACTTCCATTGTATGCACTCTATGTTAGTTTCGTACTTCTATGATGTACACTCTATGTCGCTATAGTACTTTCATGGTATGTACTCTATGTCACTATCGTACTTCCATGATATGCACTCTATGTCACTATCGTTCTTCCATGGTGTAAAGTCTATGTCGCTATCGTACTTCCATGATATGCACTCTATGTCACTATAGTACTTCCATGATGTGCACTCTATGTCGCTATCGTACTTCCATGATGTGCACTCTATGTCACTATAGTACTTCCATGGTGTGCACTCTATGTCGCTATCGTACTTCAATGGTATGCACTCTATGTCACTATCGGACTGCCATGATATGCACTCAATGTCGCTATCGTACTTCCATGGTGTAAAGTCTATGTCGCTATCGTACTTCCATGATATGCACTCTATGTCACTATAGTACTTCCATGATATGCACTCTATGTCGCTATCGTACTTCGTTGGTGTACAGTATATGTCGCTATCGTAGTTCGTTGGTGTACATTCTATGTCGCTATCGTGCTTCCATGTTGTGCAATATTGTTTTCCAGTGGTGCGTACTCTGATTGTCCTTCCGTAATTAGTATTCTGTTATATATACTCCCATGGGGTGAACTCTGTAAATGTTGACAGGGCCGTAACTAGCCTCTGTTAAAAGTGAGGCAAAACTATTAGCCGGCGAGGGGTCTGGGGGCCGCTGAAAGCCCCCATAAGCTCTGGAAAAAATGACGCAAAATCGTGCATTCTGAGCGTTTCCCGGACCCTATCATAATCTGAAAAGTTTTGTTTTAATTATTTTTTTGACAATATTCTGTTCCCAAAGTAAAATATCTAGATTCAGTGTAAGACTTTTAGTTTTTAGGGACAGTATCAAAAGACCGATATGTAGGATAAAGCAAAAAGCATAATTCACATTGTTAAGTGTGTGGCTGCTGTTTTTTTTGTTATTTTTTTGTTATTGAGTTTCTGCTTGTAGGAAAAACGTATTATACCTGTTAATTATGTTTTTTTTTCAAATTAAGTTAAGAGGGGCTGATTATCATTGATATAACTGTGTGAATTCTATAATTTTATAACACATTTCAATTACAAATTGATGTAATTCCTAACTGGGATAGAAAGGGTACACATCATGGTAGACTCAGGAAAACCGTTCTTAAGACCTCATTGCTACATTTTTGTGCTGTTTTAATATGTATACCGGGTGATTAATGTCGGATCTGCCTGTTCTGGTCTTGTATTGTGTTTAGACTTTGGTGTAATTTTTTTGTGACTTTGAAATTTATTCACAGCTACTTTAAGTACCGCTTAAGTCGACGATAGGGGCCGTCTAAACATTGTTGTAAGGTATGAATGATTCGTTCATTGTTGAAGTTCCTCCAGTGACTGTCAAGATGAAGAACAGTAATAAAAGCCCTGTTCATTGATAATTTGTATTTTTTCCATGCACATTTACTCCATATCCCTTTATTTTCTATTTTAGGGACTGAACACGGCTTAATGCAAGTCTACGCTCTTCAATGCAAAAGGTCATATGGCAATACATGATTTTTCTTTTTAAATGATTTGATTCCGGGAGATTGGTTGTCTCACTTTAATTTAACACATGTCATCTTTTTAGTTTAACATAAAAGAGAGTCAGTTTTGTAGTCTTTAATTTAAAGTATAATTTTCCATGAAAAAAAACGACCAATTTTTCTATGTCCGGTAGCTTCGTATCTTCTCAAAACATTTTCTCGAACAATATCTGGACATCGGTGGACATGTAACATTGCCAAACCACACAACCGTTCACCCGTCATTACCGACCACTCCGACTATGCTATTTCGATATTTTTTAATTTTTTATTATCAATGTTTCATAGACTAACCGATACATATTTTTTCAATTTAAAGTAGTTTTTAAAGTTAGACGAAAGGTCCTTAAATATAATAAAACTCGAGTTTAAAACAAAATTACTAATTTGCAAATGAAATACAACGCTAAGACAATAGTCATGAAGAAGGGCAATCAATGATCAAAAGACAAACCCGTGAACAGATAAGACACATAACAACAAATTATAGACAATCAACACTGAAAACTAAAACTAATGAGAAACATGGATCCCGAAAAAACAGGGGCGATCGACGCCAGAGGGTGAACAGAACTTGCTTCTTGCAAGACACTCGCCGTGAAAACAATTTGATATGAAGACAAGCTTTTGATTCAACTTATTATTTTTTTTTTAAATTTCCAACATGAGGCATTTGCCTCATTTGCCTCAATGTAGTTACGGTCCTGATTGAATAACCATGGTGAGTAATATGCCAATATTGTACTTCTATGACCAAAACTCTGTTGTTGATAGTGTAAATTCATAAATTATTGTGTGCATTTATTATTGCGATTTTTGAAGAATAGACAGCAATGCGAGATTAATTATTGCGATTTCAGGAAAATCTGCATACAGATATATGTATCAGAATGCGACTTCTGAGTATTGCTATAATCACCAAGGAAAAGGGGGGGGGGGCAAAAAGGGGGGGGGGGGGGACTGGTCATTTTGAAATCATGCATATAAATTTTTTTGATCCCCAAATAATATTTCACTATTTTTATTTTATCCTCCCTTAAAAACTTTTTAAAAAAAGTGATCCCCACTCTATTAAACATGCCAAAATTTTACATGCAAAACACTTACCTTTGACACACATGATATACATGTAGGATATACTTGAAGATTCAAAAGTTCGCAAATGTTTCTTTAGAGATAAAATTGATCCCCTCACTTTGGATTTATAAAAAAAAATTGAAACCCCTATTCCACTTACAGAAAAAAACTTAACCCCCTACATTTTGACCAGCCCCCCCCCTTTTCCAGGTAAAAATGATAAATCCCTTATACATGTTCATATTTGCATAATTTTCTCTCATTAGCGTATTTAAAGCAGTAGAGAGTTTGGGCTTCAAAGGTCAACATACCATGATTATTGACTTTTCTTACACAGCAAATTCGACTTACTTGTAAAGCGTTAGCTTATTAACAAATAATACATGTCATACATCAGCACATGTGCAGATACAGAGCAAAATCGTTTCTCAAAATATTACAAAAATTCTCATTCTGCTTAATTCAGCGGAATAGTTATAAAGGTATTTTAAGCAAACCGTGGTATGGCAAGCGTCGATATTCCATCACTAATTCTTATAATCACATACTTTTATAGTTAAATTTCCCGCGGCTTTAACTAGACTAGAAGAGTTCCGAATGAACTTATTGACAGAAAATCGAAAATCAGAAAAAGGTCGCCAAACAACAATGGAACATTTTCTTACAATGAAATGAAATATAATGAAATTTAATCATTCAAAAGTGAATTCACACGGAGAATATGGCGACTGAAGTCCGCTGTAATGGCGAAAAACCGAAATCAAGAGATGGTAAGCTTTTTCACGATGTTTTTGTGTGACGGGATGACTCATATCGCATTTATAAAAAAGGGGTTCTTAGTTGACAAAAGAATGATTGTGCTTGTCACACCTATTGACATCTTGCAGAATGAATGTTAATATAATAATAATATTTTGCATTTAATAACAGACGCTTGTAATATTTTATCTGTTTATTGACGAAGAAATTACATGTATTTTCAGTTTCAGTTCAGCTGAAGGCCTTCCAGACAAGTAGTGTCATCATCCATACATATGATAACCTTAAGTTAAGACTATTCCCCTGACCTTAAACTAAAAAATCAAACTTTAAAAAATTTTACAACTGTCAAATATCAAATGAGTATCACCTCGATTTTTTGTTTACTTGGTGTGTTGGCCCTCTAGGCTCTATTAATCATATAGTTAGAAAAGGTTTCCTATCCGAACCTCTCTTGTAATTTAATAGTACATTTGTACATGTGGTCCTACATGTTCCTAGTGGTCGCTTTCAAGGATAAAGCCGTAACGTGTTTCAAGGACCACAGAGTTTATCAACATTGGTTTGGCCTACTAAATTGTTTCTTCAGGACTATTTTCCATATTTGGGGACCAGCTCTTATTTTTTCCACCCTGTTTGTTCAAATTATTTTAAGAATTATCCAATCAAGACAGCTTTCTTGTACTTGCAACATTATATCATGTTTATATCCTAAATTTAATGTAAAAAAAAATTGTGCAATTAAATCATAGGTCTGAAACCAATTTGGCCAAGTATTTTCAATACTATTAAAATGAGGCTCCAATGTTATTTACCTCCAAATGAATTGAAACAATTACCACATCATGTCACAGATAAAGAATGTTAAATGGTCTGTAGTGGTGTCATACAATATCTGCCCTTTGATACATGTATATATAATTTGAAATGAATTTATTATTGTGAAATTTGCAACTGAAAAGGCATTGCAAAATTAAAATCTTACATTTTCAATTTTGATAACATTATTTACTTTACTGAAATCACTAAGATTAAATCAATCACAAATCTGACATTGTTTGTCCTTTTGTCCAGAATCATCATTAAATGCACACACAAATTTCTGAATTTATACATACAGTATTCAATTTAAGGGAAGATAATCACCTAATGAATTGCAAAATATCGATATCTTTTCTTTGAAGTCAGTATACCCAAAACTCATTCATTCCAGTGGAGGATCAGAGGAGGGGGGGGGGGGGGTTCCAGAGGTTGTAACCCCCCTTTTTTGACGATCAATGCTTTTGAAAAGGGACATATTGTTGGAACCCCCCTTTTAAAAATGGCTGGATCCACCTCTGCATTCCTACATGTACATTGTATATGGTACATTGTACATGTACATGTAGATATACATTGTAATTTTACAATATTACAATTATAGATTTGGGAGCATTGACGGCCAAATGGTCTTGAGTACATCTGTAGTTTATCTAGTGTGTCACTAACCTGTCAACACTGAGGTTGTGAGTTCAATCCTGCATGTGGCAGGTGTATTTGACTCAAATCCTTTTTGACTAGGTCAGAATTTGTCAGTTTTCCTGCCAAAGCATTGTGGTTCTCTCTGGGTACTCTTCCTCTACTTAAAAAAAGAGCCGCCACATTATAGCCAATAGAGCTAAGAGTTACGTTATATTTGTATAATAATTACTGTAAACTGCAGAGCACTACAACAAACAAAGTAGACCTATTCAATTTAACTGAGGTGAAAAAATAGATGTATTTTTGTTTCGAGTTTCCCGATCGACCCACCTTAATTTTAAGATTATTATCTTTACATTTTTGGGATTTCTTTGAGGCTTTTTAACAAAATAATCACTGTTGTAACTTGTAAGGCCAAAAATAAAATTAAAATTGTTTGATGTTGCCTAACCCACAAATTGTTTCAAAATTTTGTTTAAATGTTTTTTTTTCATGCTCACGTCGTTTTCTTGTCTAAAACATGTAACTTGGATCCTCAATGCTTTCCAAGTTTGTACTCTTATTTGGCCTTTTAACTTTTTGGATTTGAGAGTCACTGATGAGTTTTTTGTTGACGAAACAGGTGTCTGGAGTACCAAATGATAAGCCCTAAGACTAGTACATTTGTATATTGAAAGAGAGGAAAGGCTTTGTACCATGTACAAAATGTATTTTTGACATGTTTCAAGATTCAATCCAATAAAAATATGATTCTCCTTTGGACAGCCCCAATATATAATTAAATTTGTATATCTGATGTGATACATATCAACTAATTACTTTTAATTATTTAATATACAATGTATATATTATAAGATTGATTTTACAGGCACCTTAGCCAATATAATCATCTTCTCTGTCGTGTTTACATATAAAATAAACTAACTTATTATGTTTATTTCCTTTGAAATGATATTGATCTGGTAGTATTTATTTACATAAGAGAGGGTTTGTAAATACTTGAGATGTGGTAATATACTGTGTATATGTAAAGAGAAAACAGGTTCATTGTAGCATGCTTCAAGTCAACTAAATTTCAAAATTTGAAAAGGTTTTATATTTATATACCGGTATAGAATTTGATATATTTTAAATCATATACATGTAAATGCATCTCTCTGTCCAAATTTTAGAACCTCAGGTCAGATAATTTTTTTTATTTTCAAAAATATCATTAAAGGATTATATCATATATTATATAAATAAGGGTATAGAAATTTGATATATTTTAAATCATATAAATGCATCAGCTGTCTGTCCAAATTTTAGAACCTGGTCAGGAAATTTTTTTTTTATTTTCAAAAATGTTATTAAAGGATTATCATATATATATGTAAAGGTAGTACTCTGGATTTTGACTGAGGTTATCCAAACGTGTATGGACTGAAACAGTACCAGTACTTATAGACCTATATAGAGTTTGGTTTGGTCATTTGGTCTCTGGTGGACAGTTGTCTCATTGGCAATCATACCACATAGTCTTATTTTTTATACTTTACAAAAATGTCTGGACTTAATTAACCATGGTGTTGTAAGATCAGTGCAAAAAAAAAATCAAGTAGAATATGCTAGGGTTGGCATGCTAACTTTTGAAAGAGAACGATTGATTGATTGATTGTTGGTTGTTTAATATCCAGTGGCAATAAAAGAGAACAAACATACATTTTTTTTGTACATGTGCATTGTCAGGAGCTATACACTGTATATAGGGAGGCAGGAAAAATTGACATATAAGGCCACCCTTAAAAATTTCTTTGTTTGATGTTGCCTACCCATGCCTTATAGGGTTGGGTAGGTAGGTAGAGACTTTATTTTTTTTTTGGCCAACAACATAAGTTACAGGTTTTAGACATGACGTAAGCGCGGGAAAAAATCTTTCAAAAAAATTTGGAACAATTTGTGTCAAAATTATTTTTGGGTAGGCTGCTTTTTAGGTGGGTAGGAAAACGGCATCAAACAATTTAAATTTTATTTTTGGCCTAAAAAAATTATATATCACTCATTATGAAATTGAGAATGGAAACGGGGAATGGTTCAAAGATACAACAACCTAACCAAAGAGCAGAAAACAGCCCAAGGCGACCAATTCAATGGGTCTTCAACACAGCGAGAAAATCCTGCACCGGGAAGTGGGCTTTAGCTGGCCCCTAAACAAAGACTACTTCTTAAAAATTAAATAATTAAATTGATACTGATGACACACATATACATATTTGAATTTTTAATTTGGAAGAGATTGTCATTGAATCTAGACAACATGGTCTTTTTTAAAGTTTTTTCCCTAATCAAGATGAATTTACATGTAGCAGCAGATAACAGTTTATAAATGAGTCCATACTTTACAATGCTGAGGAGGGATCAATTAGACGATATTTGATGTTTATTCAGTGAGTTATATGAATGATTTGATTCTTGTTGGTATCTCAAATCATCTGTATATATTGCTTCCTCAAATCAATAAAAATGTTTCAAAGATGATTTATTACAACGATTCTAGTACATTATATACGTTTTAATTAGTATAAAACTGGATGTGTATACATTGCACATGGCAGATCAAAGATTTGGAAACGAAACAAAATTGAATAATGATGATAAGGGGATGACCATTTGATAATCTGTGGTTTGGACTTTGAGGTGGGGGGGGGGGGGGGGATTTTTTGACTATTCTTTTTCATCTGTTGCTATATATATATATGCATGTTTTTTTCCCACAATATATTCCTGTATTTTGTACAAGCACTTGTTGCAGAATATTCATTTTCATCCTGTTTTTTGCAAAGTTATTTATTTTCAACTCTTACCAGGCCAGAATATACATTTTCAATATCTTACTGCCCCCTCCAAAAAATTTAATGGTCATCCCCTAACAGCTGACAGGGTTGAAAGTTTTTCTGACAGTCTCATTAAAAAATGGGCGAATGGAGATTTATTATTTAATTTTATTTAGATTGCCAAATTCATGGGTAAGTATAAAAAATGGGCAAATGGAGATTTAATTTTGTTTAGATTGCCAAATTCATGGGTAAGTATAAAAAATGGGCGAATGGAGATTTAATTTTATTTAGATTGGCAAATTCATGGCCAAGTATGAAAAAATGGGAGAATATAGATTTAATTTTATTTACATATGTAGATTGCTAAATTCATGGCCAATTATATTAAGGAATGGGCGAATGGAGATTTAATTTTAATTGGATTGCCAAATTCAAGACCAAACATAAAAAAATGAGCAAGCAGAGATATTATTTTGATTAGATTCTAAATTCATGACCAGGGAGCATGAAAAAATCAGCGAGTGGAGATTTCGTTCTAATAAGTTTGCCAAATTCATAAACATGATCAATCGTAGAAATGTTATCATGATTATATTTCATTCGTGTAAAATTTTGACCAAATGCAAAAACGCAGTGAAAAACACAACAATTTACTTTGCTGCCAATTATTAAATGAAATAAAGAGATTTACGATCTACAAACAAACAACAAATCATTTTGAAATGAAAACAGAC